CCCATAGATACTTGGCATAATACATAAATTGGACCCTTAACTTGGCTTCAAATTATAACTTTGACCTTTAACTTTGTGCGTGCACAAATAGGCACTTTAACTATCCAAAACTTAAACAAAAAAACACTCGGATCCTACCTGGCAAAATGCGTGAAATACACTCAAATTAGGCGCGTCAGATGTAAAAATCGAGGGGGCCTACAGTAAAAAAAGCATTGAAAGGACAATTAAACCCTCTTTATATTATTTTCAACAATTTTTCCCTCTTTTTTGCATTATTTGTTGTTCACTGCAAAATGCAAGTGACATTTAATAAAAATTTTTGTTATTGCGAAAAAAAATTATAATGAAGTTTTTTTTTGGCAAGATGGGTGAATATACACTTGTAAAAGTCGAATGCAATTTAAGTTCGAAGGTTGTCGATCAATGAATCAGATCCACACTTAAGGGACTCCTTACATTTTGATTAGGTATCAAATTACTACTCAAATTTGACAAAAATCTCTAAAAAATTCATTCAGACAATTTATCAAACACTTTAAGTGCACCATTTTACTTAATAATTTTTAGCACTGTATGTTCATTTTTTGGCCTCCAAAAATTCATAATTGTAATTTGCTATTCACTGTGACAATCACAATACACAAAACACCCTGATTTTTCCATTAAGTATTTGACAACTTAAAGCACAAATACACTTTAACTAAAGAAAAGAAGGAGAAGTTCATTGATTCTCATGTCTTCCCATATTTATGGGCTGCTCTGAAATAATTTTGCAACAAAACAATAGTAAAAAATGCTGAAATGACAACTCTACCCCCCGAATTCCGGCAACCCAAAACCCCCGTTCATTTTCTTCTTTTTCAAGCAAAACTCCACCACCAAATGACCCCCAAACAAGTACCTCCAACCCAACCGTTCTCCTTCTTCCTCACACCGGAGCACAACCCATGAAGCGAACTAGCTTCGAGCTCGCTAAATCCACCAAATACCCGACCCCAAACCCATCAGATCTGCCATCTCCGACGAGAATCATCACGAAACAACACTGCTGCAACCAGCAGCTCGAACCAGACACAAAACAACAACCAAATGACCCCCCAAACCCCATGAAAACAGACCCAATGAGCTCCAAGCTAGCAAAACCATTAGGAGGAATTAATTTTGATTCTTGTATATAAATTAAAATTAATTTTGATTTTTTTTAGTTCTAAAATGACGTGTAAAATATTTAATTAGTTGGCAGCCATTGAGTGGCTCACTAATACATTTGGGAGCGTTTTCATTTCACGCTCTTTGGCTCCGAAAATCGTGTGTTTATTTATTTAAAGGTAGGATAGTTAAGTGCCTATTTGTGCATTATGAAAGTTGGAGGTCAAAGTTAAAATTTGAAGCCAAGTTTAGGGGCCAATATATGTATTATGCCTAGATACTTCCTACTAGGCTGACCATATTTCTATGTACATAAAAAAAATTCAAAAAATTATCTTATACATATATAGTGAACACCATCCTCCCCCGATCACAAGATGACAACTTTACCGTTGTTCCAAGGCTACCATAACTCATCCATTTTTTTTACAACAAATGACAGAGACAACAACTTTGAAAGGAACATACCCATGGATACTTCCTACTAGGCTGACCATCTATCTATGTACATAAAAAATTATCTTATACATATATAGTTAACACCATCCTGCTGCCCCCTGATCACAAGACAACAACTTTACGTAACATCTCGCAAATTGAAATAGCTAGGAAGAATCTAAGAACTGGAAATAGTCATTTTTGGAAATAAAAAAAAAATTGGAAATTTGTTTAAGTTAGGAAAAGTGAGTTTTTGGTCAACTTCAAACAATTTAACTCCTATCTCAGGATGAGTGAGGTGTACTTCCAGATATGGTTGGAAATCTCTTGGAATTATTTTCCAACGCCGCAGAGTTTGCGCGATTCCGAGTTCGTATGAGTGAGTTATGCCCTTTAGAAGTTGGGCTGTTGGAATAATGAAATGTCCAATCCGGATTTTTGGAAGGGTATTTTAGTCTTTTCCGTATCCAATTAATTAAATTCGTTTTAGTGAATTAATTAAGGGTCTAAACTGAACTTGGTCAATTTATGCTTTTGAGAAACAAGTTAGGGTTTTGAGAGAAGAGGAGAAAAGAGGATAAAGAGCAAGGAATCGTCAAGTTCTTGAAGCTAAGCTCGTGAATTTCATCAAGGGGAGATCCCTACGAGGTATGTGAGTCTTTCATAGCGTTGGGTTTGTTCACCCACGTGCCAAACATGTTTTAATTCAGCGAAATTCGTCCTAAAAGAGTTTGAAAGTTGATGTTCTTGACATGTATTCTTGAATTTGAATGTTGTTCTTGAATTGGGATGAATTGAGGAGTTTCTGAGATCTTTACGTTGAGTTTTAGAGTTGTTTTGAGTTAGGTTCCTGAGTACAGATGTTGGGTATCGGAATCTAAAATGAATTTGAGAACAATAGTTGAGTTCAGATGAATTGGGGCTGTAAAACGAGAAGTAAAAAGTCGAGGGTGTTTTGGCACGCAAGTCCGCGTCGCGGACTTGCTCCCTTTGTGTACAAAAATTTCCTTTGCGTCGCGGACAGGACGCGGACTCCTCTGTTTCAAAATTAAATTTCGCGACCATTTATTTAAAAACATCTCCGCGTCGCGGACTTGTTCCAAGACTGTGATTTTGTAACTTTTCTCATGTTTAGCTATTCAAAATCATTCCTAAACATCATGAGGTCTTTCCTATCACAAATCACCATCCTTGAATCCATAATTCAATTCAAGGACAACTAAGAGTCAAGTTGAGAAGTTAAGAGTCAAGCTAAGAGAAGTCAAGAGTCAAGTTAAGAGAAGTTCATAAAGTATTTCAAAAGTCTTTCACAAACGTTTTAACTTTGTTAAAAGACTTAGGTTTTGAGTTGAGTAAAGTTTGAAGTTCATGTCTTCAAAAGAGTATATCGGGACTATGTATTCCCAAAGAGTAAAATGTTTTCACATTTAAAGAAGAAGGGTAACCTTGATTTCCAAAAGAGCCTTTGAGCTAGTTTTCAGTTAAAGAGTAAATGTTTTCACATTTGAGCAAGAAATGAAGCTGAGATTTCCAAGAGAGCTTTTAAGCTAAGTTTTTGAGTAATTATCTCAAACCAAAGAAAGAGTTTGTTTTTACAAACATATGAGCTAAAATATATTATTTTGAGAGTAGTATTGAGCATCGATATGGGAATGCGAGTTCATATTAATTCAAGTCTTCATAAACCATGTAGTCATCATGAGTAGTAAATGATCATACTTTTTAGATGACTCCTTCAGATAGACTAGTGGATCCACTTAGTGTGAGAGGTTCTATACCCCCGATAAGGTATATGAAGGTCCTTGGCAGCGTGAGTTAAAGTGTTGTATCACCACTTAGGCTCATAGTGGTGGTTGTCGGTTAGAGAATCTCCCCAGAAATTATATTATTTTCTTAAATGAGTGAAGTTAAGTTTGTTATTGCATTTTCTTTAATGAACTAAGATGTTTTCAACTGTTTTATAAGCTTTATATATAATGCATGTGCTTTATTGCTTTATATTTGAGTTAAGTTATTCAGAAGTTGAGAAGAGTCAAGGTAAGTGTTTCTTCATATTCCTTTCAAGCCTATATCTTGTTTTAGCATTCCAACTCGCATACTCGTACATTCAATGTACTAATGCCAGTTGGTCTGCATTGTCTTATGATGCAGACGCAGGTAACCAAGATCAGCATCCAGCGCATCGTTGATCCAGTTGAGCACTCAGAGTCTGGTGGTGAGCCTCCTTGCCTTCCGGAGGATCTCCTTTTTCATTACTTTATCATTTTAGTTCATTAGGATGTTGGGGGTCTTGTCCCGACATCTATCTCAGTTATTAGAGGCTTCATAGATAGACAGTTAGTTAGTTCATTTGTCTTTATTTTGTTATTGACTTATGTACATATTTTGAGTTGTCATTGTGGCTAAGTTAAATGTTTATTTTTAAAACATTATGAGTTTAGTTTGAGAAAGTTGAGTTATTTTCAAATATTTTAAGTCTTCCACTGAGTAAGTAAGTCAGGCCAAGGGTTCGCTTGAGACCAGCAATGGTCTTCGAGTGCCAGTCCCGCCTAGAGTGTAGGCTCGAGGCGTGACACTTTACCGCCGTTCCAAGGCTACCATAACTCATCCATTGTTCAATAACAAATTACAAAGACAACAACTTTGAATGTCAAAAGTTAGGAAAAAGGGAACTTACCCATAAATACCTCCTACTAGGCTGACCAATAAAAGCATACTGATAATCCTCATCAATATACAAAACCCAATAATCACCAGTAACAGGAATAATAGGCAAAAATGGCGGAACATAAAACCTGACTTTTGTTGTAAATATTACGAAAAATACCTTCTTGACGAACACTGTATCGAATTTATCAAAGCTTGTACTTCACCAATAACTCTTCTAGAAACTTCTCATAGCTTGAGGCGTGTCGAAAGACACTGTCCTTAAGGATATATCACCCGGTATGGATGTATTCCCCATTATTCAACAAGCTATTCTAGTATAAAACTAAGAGCCAAAAACTAACAAAGATTCTTTAAAACAAAACCCAACACTCATAGTATTGGAAAGTGATGGAAGAAACTCTCTTTGTTCTTATCTACTTCCTTAATCAATAGCTAAAGAGCTCAACATAAGATTAGGCTCCAACAATTGTCAGACAATAAATAGGGATTAATAACAAGCAATAATAGGAGGCAATTGGTCAAAAAAATAACGTTTGATTAAAAATAGTCTATCAATGCTATTAAAAGTGCACAAAATATTTGGTCAAAAGGAAACGTTTGACAACTGCCAAACAGTACAACATAACAGTGTTTTAGTGGCATTTATTTAGGGGCAATTAACTAAATGCCGCTAATTTCTCCTTTAACGTCATCTATTAGCGGCAATTAAACTTTTGCCGCGAGTAAGTAACTTTTAGTGACAACTATAATAAATGCCATTAAAACATCCCCAATCCCTTTATACGATCATTCCTTTAATACTCCAAAAAAACTCTCATTCTTTCTGCGCCGCCTCAATCAAAACCTACATTCCCGTTTTGAGTTCATTCATTTCATCATCGCCACTGCTTCGCTTCGTTCCATCATTGAGGTCTTTCAATTTTGATGTTGCTGACTATCTTCAGGTATGATATTTCTTTATCGTCTTCATGATTTCTGTTCAGATCTCGAACGATTTTGGATTCGTATGTTATGGTTGTAATTTGAAAATTTTCTTCTCACACAATCAATTGCGCGCATATTAGAGTATTACAGTGCGTTTTTATGAGTAAAACATGTTCATGTTTATCACTCTTTTACCATTCAATGTATTACACCTCTAAATTGAACCCTAATACAAACATGCAATAAGATTTATAGTCTATAACTGAATTTTATGGTGGATTACTGCTTAATTTGAGTCTGATTCGTAAATAGAAGTGTTTATTATTCAATCGCATTACTTTTCTAATTTTGTTCAAGTTCTGGAAATTAGATCCTGGTAGTGGAAACAATTACTCATGTCTGAAGGTTGTTGAAATTTTTGGTTTAGAGCACATAAATGTTGGATATCTTTTGAGGAAGGAGACGTATTCTCGTAGTTAAAGGAGGCATCCGTCTTCTAGTTTTAACAGTGGTTCATCTTTAGTTTAGTTTTGTTTTGATGAGACTAAAAACGTATCAGATCTAGATTGATAGTTCAAAAATAATGAACGTAATTTGAAAAGACGCTTAATCTAAGAAACTCCTTTGCTTTTCTGCTTTGTTTTCATGTTCTGTTTCTCTAGTATGTCTCTTGGCCTCTTACTTTATGAGAACTTTTTTTAACCAAGGAATCCCTGAGGGAAGTTGGCGCAATTTGAAGCTCGATTTGAAGAAGCTCTTCAACTCCTTTAATATGTCGACTTCACTTAACATGTAGCGTTTATTTTCTTCTTGCTTGTTCAGACATATTTCATGAGCACAATTAAGATGAGCCTGAAGCTCAACCCGAGGGCCAAACTGCAACACAGACTCTTCGCTCAGAGATATTGCAGGACACAATGTTAGTGATAATGTCAAGCATCTGACACCTAGCTGACACAATCGAGTAAAGCAAGTACACCATTGACACCCCTGCTCTTCTGCAAGCTGTGATGGAAATCGAAGGTCTGAAAGAATCAAAGCGAATGTACGCCTTCGAGTTTTTGAATGAGGACCCTACAAAAGCAAGAGCCTTCATGGCATACAATAGAAGACTCAGAAGGATATATTTGTTTCGACTGTTTGGTTGGTGGAGATAATATTTTGATTATCTGTTCTACTGCTTCTTGGTCCTCTCTTTTTGATGGATAATCAGTACATCGTAGAGGATTAGTGCAAAAGTACATCTTTTAATATGTTTTCTTAGCAATTTGTTAGTTATGTTTTCTTTAAGTTTATTGTCACAGGCTAGCCAGTAGAGTTATTACTGGGCTACAATTTTGTAATGTTTTTTCTTGGGTGATTAATAAAAAAAATGAGTTACAAAAAAAAGAATATATTTCTCTTATGATTTTTATTTTTTATGCTATGAAAGTGTGGTGGTTAAATATGTCATCCTTTGCATCTTCATCGGCATTTACACAAGCCACACAATATGTTTGATATCACATTTTTAAAGTAATTTTACTGGCAATAGTAATAGCCGCTAAATAAATGCCGCCAAAAGTATTAACGTTTAGCGGCAATAATATTAATCTTTACCGGTACTCTAAATAAATGCCACTAAAGCCTTTAGCGACATTGGATGCAATGGCAATAGATTAAATGCCGGTAAATGTTTTTGTGGCAATAAATATTGCCGCTAATAGGAAAATTAATTGTCACTAAAAGTCTCTTTTGGTGTAGTGAAATTTGCATCAATTATGTGTTGAGTTGAATGTTCTCAAGAATATTGTATTTTTGAGATATTAATATTGTTTTTCCAACAACTTTCAATTTTGCCTCATCAACATTAGGATCAACCTTATAAGCAGTTCCTTCAATAACAAAGCAACAAGTTGGTTTTCTTCCTCAGGGCTATGGTTCCCTTGATGATCTTATGGGTGAAATGAAAAGGGTAAGCAAACCTCTTTTAGTCTCTGTCTTATTTATCAAGCTTTTATTCTGAAGTTTAGTCATAGATTCAAACCGAGGTTGTGCGCAAGCTGGCCTAGGCACCACACCTTTTATTTTCAAAAAAAGAAGAATTTTGAGACCTGAATACTGCTGTTTTTAAATAAAAATACATGAATTACAATACTTGACCTGAGTCCGCGGTCTGTGCTGTGGTGATAGATCAGATAAGCTTTCTTGAGGAAAGGATGTTTACTTAACTGAGTCCGCGGTCTGTGCTGTGAGTTCAGCTGAATCATTTGCATTCGTCTCCAACTCTGTATATATATATATGCGAATTCTTTTGAAATGTACACAAATAATAAGATTACCTTGAACTCGCCGACTCTAGATCCTGATTAACTTTTGGATGGGATGGGTGGAGTTCTTTAACATTTTTTCTTTACTATTTTACAACTTTTTTAGCCAATCCAACTAACAGAAATTGAATGAATATTGTGTGAGTTGATGACTCGTATGTCACATATTAAATTGATAAGAACCGATACTACACATGATTTTAGCCCACAGCCCAACTTTTTTATACTAGTTTCCCCTGCTATTGTGACATAATGGAAACTGCCTAGCATTATACAAAGAGGAAAAATCATAAAGCAAAATTTAAACCAAAAAAAGTGGGAAAGCATACCATATTATTAGATTGCCAAAATAATAAGGCATGCTGAATACATTAACCTCGTCTCAACTGATAACTAAACAATTTTTTAATAACTTTCAGAATGCACATCTACACGTTTCAACTCATTTCCACCGTATCTTGTGGTCGCATAACGTGGCGTGACAATTATCATATCACCAAAAAAATAAGGCATACGATAGGCGCATTAACTTGGCCTCAACTGATAATAACTAAACACTTCAACTTTGAAAATACATATCTACACACTTCAATTCGTTTTTACTGTATTTCATGGATACATAACACTAGCATGCCACATAAATTTTGTAGGTTACATTCAACAACAAATAAAATAAATAGTGCATTTTTTTTATACACACTAGATATTAATATTTATATGTAAGTTGAATGACATATTAACATTGTTACCTCCCTTTCCTAATTAATAGTAGTAGCAGCATTTTTCTCGTAGTTGTTTGTCGTACTTGTTATTTTTTGTGCTCCAATTATCGCATTGTTTGATTATTGTTGTTGCTTCTTGTTTCTTTTTTTTATTTTTAAATGTTATGTTATGCCTTTTCTATTATTTGTTATGTCATATATTTGTCATTGCTCGAGTCGATCATAATCAATCTCTAGATATCTACCTCCACAAGGTAAGGGTATTATTACGTACACTTTACCTTCCTCATACCTCAGAAGTTAACTCTCGTTTTTTAGACTAATGTGTGACCGAATAAAAATAAGTTTCGTCACTCTTTATCACATCCATGGAGAAAAAATAGAAGTTTTCCTCACAATTATAACAAGATGAAAACATTTTGCTTTCGACCATCATTAAAATTGAAAGGATGTTACACAAGGGGGAAGAAAATAAATTGATCCACAAAACTTTTTAACCGAGATCATCAAAGCAAAGATATAATAACCATCATGTTAAGCAAATAAACAAAATAACCCAATTTTTGAGATAGGTTTTTGGTCAAAATCAAAATATCGAGCAAATGTAGGATCCAGAGTATTGTTGCGAGATAGTTTCCGAGGCCGGCAAGCTTTAACAACCTCATTCAGTTGCGATTTTGAAATGTACACAAATAAAGATTATCCTGAACTCGCTGATTCTAAATCCTGATTCACTTTTGGATGGAATATGGTGGAGCTCTTTAACATGTTTTCTATACTATTTTTGGCTTAATGAACCAATACACTACAACTTTTTAGCCAATCCAACTAACAAAAATTGAGTTAATATCGTATAAGTTGATGAACAAATACTACCTTGATCTTAGCCCACAACCCAACTTTTTTATTCGATGGAAACTGCGTAGCATTATATAGAGGAAAATCACAAAGCCAAAAAAAAAAAAAAAAGTGGGACAAAATAATGTATTATCAAATCACCGAGAAATAAGGCATATAATACACATTTTAACTTGACTTCAACAGATAAGTAAGAGAATGCACATCTAAACACTTTAACTCGTTCCCAATTGTATCTCATGACACTCGAAGTTGACGTAAATTTTGAAGGTGCTTAGATGATCATTTTCTAAGTTGGAGAGTTCAACTAACACAATTGAACACATTGAGGTGTTTAGATGCTAGTTGTCAAGTTATAATGTCTATTTTATGTATTATGCCAAAAAATTATTACGCTGTATTATGCCAAAAAATTATTACGAATACGTGCATAACTTTCCTAAAGAATAATGTAGGTTGCATTCAACAACAATTAAAATAAATAGCGCATAATTTGATTATTGTTATTGCTCCTTTTTATTTCTAAATAAGATTACCTACAGTTTACCTTTCTCATAGCTTATAAAATTATACTAGATACCTCGGGCATTATTTGAGAATACGATTGGACTAATAATAATATATTTGATGTAATTAGTTATACAAATAGTTAAAACTTACTCCTGTAATTCCAGATTTTTTACTGGGGATTCTAATTAAGAAAAGTAATCGATATGAAAAAAATAAGGTTACGATAGCAAACCCCTTGGCATTGATCTTTCACAAACAAAAGTACTGCAAGAATGTCTACATATTTGATGAAATAGAAAGTTCCCTCACAATCAAATAACAAGATGAAAACATTTTAGTTTCAACCATTATGAAAATTGGAAAGATAAATTGATCCATAAAACTTTTTAACCAAGATCATGAAGCAAAGATATAATAACCATCATGTTAAAGCAAATGAACAAAAAAATCCAAATTTAGAAATAGGTTTTTCTGTCTTAATCAAAATATTGAGCAAAATGTACAGACACGAAGGATCAATGGTCAAATTCAAATATAACGAAACAGAAGGAGATAAATAACGTTGAAGTAAAGTTAGAGAAAACGCGACAAACACTTGAACAGTTGGGAGGAAGAAAAGAAGATAAGTTGATCCATAAATCTTGTTAAGCCAATAAACAAAGATATAACAACAATGTTAAACGAATAAGCCACAGATCAAAGGCTTGAACTGATCAAAATGTAGAAAGAGACACAAAGTTACGCAACCAACTAAAAAACAACAACAATATTGAACTAGAGTTGGAGAAAACGGGATAAGCACATAATCAAAAAGGTAGATAACCATAGAGCATTTAGATCCCAAAAAGTTACTTAATACATGGAAATAAACAAACCGATCTTAACATAATATGTTAATCAAAAGCTTCAGAACTACGATTAACTTCAGTCTAATTGAAACAAAAGCTTCATAACTACGATTAACTTCAGTCCTAATAGATGGTTAGATCAGGAGATAGCCGATAGGAAAAATCAAAGAGAGACTACCAGTACTGCACCAAGTCACCTTAAAGGTGATGCCAGGGATTTTTTTAGTTTTCTGCGGTCCTCCTGGAGCAAGATTCTACTTACTTCAATGCCATACAAGGTCGCATAAGGTGGGGAGCGAATGCAAGCTGGAGGATTCAACCAGAGATCCCTGCGAAAACGGGAGCAAAAAATCACAATAAACATTAAACCTTGTTTGAACGGTTGTTAACCAGTTCCAATTTAGTGGTTCAAATCTGATTTCTGGCACATGATTAATTTGTATGGTTCTCTCTTCCCTAGAATTAATTGTTATCTTTACATAATAATGGATTCAACGATAAAATCCAAACGAGCATTGTACAGTACACAATAGCAATTATACAAACAAAATAACTCGAAAAGAGAGGTACGATTCGCTGCATCCGAAGCTGTGGAGGTCATGGAGGCTCTGAAACATAAACAAATTTGAATAGAAAATCAGTTACAGAAATCAGTGGTTAAAAACAAAACAAAATAGAGCATAATCACCTCTTTGGGATGCAGAGTGTTTTTGCGAGACAGTTTCAAAGGCCGACGAGCTTTAACAACCTCATCCTAAGTTTTAAAAAGGGGGGAAATTCAGATTAAAATTGAAGAAGAACTCTATATCAGAGATGAAATCGAAAAGTAGAAAACCTGTTGATTCTCCGTCTTCTGCTTCTTATCAATGTGATGTTCTTCATTCTGTTCCTGCTTCTCCTTCTCCTTCTCCATCTCCATCTCCATCGCCGCTCTTCTTTGGTTGATGATTAGGGCAAAAACGTTTGATGTGAATGTATCTCGAGGGTTTCTTATTTTTTATATCTATATGGCTACAAAATAAACGTGAACCGTTGGATTTCAATGGTTCGATCATCTTGTTGCTTCATTTACGTTTTTCTCCCTTTATGAATTTTTGTTCTTCACTAGTTAATAAAACACTGTTTTATCATATTTTAATAGTAAGTAATATAATGCTAATAATTATACATATTATTATTATTTTATACTTGACTAATTTTTTTAGAAATAAAATGTAGGTTTGTTTTATTTTATATTTGATTAAAGGTATTATGTAGTTTTTAAATTATTTACCCATCATTTTTGTTTGTTAGTTTGACGGAATAAGTTATTCTAGTTGAATAACTTATCTCAAAATAATCTGAAATAATTAATTTTAGAATAATTTATTTTTAATTAAATAGCTCCTAAATAAAATACTTTATTTGAAACAACTAATCTTAAAATAACTTGTTTCAAATCAAATAATACCTTAAGGGGTCGTTTGGTAGGGTGCATTAAAATAAATAGTCCATGTATTATGTGTGGTATAATTTAGTACTATGTTTTGTAGGAATTTGGGCATATGTATAACTAATCCATGACTTAGTTATATCTCCTATATGGTATTATAAGATTTATTACTAATACCTTCCATTTGGAGGTATTAGTAATACATGAGATATAATATCATGGGATAAACCTATGTAAAGACAAAAATATCCTTGAAATCATTTTAATTATTTTATTTATTTTCTTGATGTTATGTTTTATATTTGTACTAGTAATTTTATTTAAATAAATTAGCTTACAAGTTATTTAGAGAGAGTTGTTTGTTAACTAAATAAATCAAATACATATTAATACAATATTTGAAGTGTGAGTTGTTTAACATTAACTAATTAAAAAGACAAATATATCACCACGTGACGTTTGTGATTTTAATTGAATGTATATATATTTGTGTGATTTTCTAATTATTTGTATTTTGAACAATTTATAAAATCGCATACATATTAAAATTACAGGTTGCAATTTTTATGTGTAAATGTAGATGGTTTATTCAATTTTACTATTGTTTACCGTCTTTTCAATTTTAGAAGTTGATGGTTTATTCTTTTTTAAAAAAAAAAATTGAAAATTGACATTTTGTAAGTGATTAATTTACTAAGATGATAATTATTTATTGTCAAATAATTTAAGTGAAAAAAAAGGCAAACATGACAACAAAATTGTTCTTCTCATAGCTAGTTAGAAGGCCATAAAAAATAATATTGTCCGATAATTATTTACTTAACCTAATTACATAATAATTCAAGGGTATGATTGGAAATAAGTTTTTTTTATAAAGTTTTAATCCAAACACAAGATGAGATGGTAAACAATAAACCAAACACTTGATAAAAATAAACCTACATTACTAATTCCTGCCTTATGAATTTTTATATCAAACGACCCCTAAGGGCCTGTTTGGAAGGACACCCTGGTAATTGAATTTGGTGTAATTGGTGTAATTACACTATCTTGTCCTGTTTGGAAGGACATATAATTACTTGGTCAGCAGGTAATTTGTGTAATTGACAGGAGGTAATTACACTCTACAATTCACAGACAGAGGTTGTGAATTGTTTGGTAATTACATGATGAATTACCACCTGATTACTTTTTTTTTCTATTTTTATTTTTTTGTTTTAATTTTTTTTACTTCTATTATCTTAAGTTCTTTTTTTATTTTTATTATTCTAAAATTTTGTAAAAGTTTATTTTTTATTTTATATATTTCATTTTCTTCTTGTTCTCAACCTTACTTTACGTGATTCTATGTAATTTTCTC